ATCTCAAAATGAATTATCCCAAGCTGAAATTTGTTTCCAATTCACAGATAGTTCCTTTACACGAGCCTACTCAAAGAAGGTCAAAGTTGAAAAGAGCAAGAATAATAGAGGAGGTTCAAAACCACACGGATTTGTTGATATCACAGATAGTCTAATTGGAAAGATGGCATTTAGTAGCAATCCATACCCTACAGAAGAGTAGTATTAATCCACTTTTATCATTGATAATTTTCCTTTTCATACCCTTCATACCCAATAATTCCCAAATTTGATTTCATCATGAACCTTCCTCTACAAAAAGTTCCACGCTCTTTATTCAACAACAAACCCTACTACAATCATCATCATCATCTTGTACTTCCTTGTATTGTATCACTTAACTTATATAATAATCTATTGAAGATGAATAAATTATTACTAGGACACTTTATTAAAATGTTCATTTCTCGTAGTCTTCTATGACATGTTGTACAAAAGAGGTAAAGATTAAATAACACCTACTAAATATTAATATAGGGAATCTAATTATTGAACAACAATTAACCATTTGTTAAGTTAGTTATGAGAGTTTCAGCAAGGTTGGATAAACGAAAACATTAATAGGTATCAACATATAGAAAGAGCTAGTTTTCAGTCACTAACATGAAATCGGGTGTGGTATAGTGGTAGCATTCCAGACTGTCACTCTGGCGACCCGGGTTCAATTCCCGGCACTCGAGATTAATTTTAGCTTTATCTTTTAGTTTTGAGTATTAATTTTTCAATCATATGAAGAAATATATGTACTATACACAGGTACCAAATTTCAAAATTTCATCTCTTAAAACCATAGAAAGAATAATCTCAGTTTAGACACTTTTTTTTTTCCTATTAAAAATATTTTTATTTCCATGTTAAATGAGCCAATCTACATATTCACAAATATTCCATTCACAACCCATGGCTGGTAAGAATAGAGTGGTCAAAGGGCAAGCTTCGCTATTTCAAATCCCACCTTCTGCAGATTTTATTTCCATATTTTTCGATTGAAATATATTTCCTAATACGTTTTTATCACAATCTGCAAAGTTGGTATTCAGATGAAAATTTCATCAATTATTCCCCTATGAATATAATATTTATTAACAATTTTTAATTTTGAATTAATAGAACGGTTTCTGCTATTTCAAAATCTCGCGAATAATAATTGAGAATCTCAAATTGTGTATTCTCACTCATGACATCATCACATTGTAACTCGTGATAATTGTTTCCCTTCAGTTCCATAAATTAAAAAAAATGTCAAACTTTGTTGATCTACCATCCGAGTTGCAAATTGAAATATTTTCCAATCTCTCTGTTAAACATTTAAAAAACATTCTTTCTATTAACAAATCAACTCATGAGCAATTGGTTCAATCAGAAACTTTTTGGAGAACTTTGATCAAGAATTATTCGAAATTGTTAGGAAGTGATTCTAGAGTTGAAAAATCAGTACAAGAATTATTAGAAATTGCAGAAATCAAGAAAAAATTCATTGAATTGATAGAAATGAAAAAGAGAACCACTGAAGAATTCCAAATGACATCTCTGAAATTAAAATACATGTTGAGAGAATTAGAAATGGCTCAGAGAGAAATGCAAGCAGGAAATGAAAGTGTTTTGCTATTAGGAGGAACCATCAGCGATCAGCTCAATATTGGAATGGAAAGAATGAAACAAGAATGTGAAAGTGTGAAAAAGGAAAAGGAAGAAATTGAAGAAAAGTTAAGGAAATTGATTATTGATTAATACAATTTCAAATAAATATTTAACAAAATATCCTCCCATGCCAGAAGAATGAAAAATACAATATTTATGTACAAGGATTATCTCGTGCTGCATCTTCATTGTCTTCATCATCTTCATTCTTATCGAACATGTACTCCAATGCACAATCTACCTTACCCGTTTTCCATTTAGAACGCAGTGATATGTATGCTTGCAATTGTTTTTCTGTTAATCAGGCAAATTTTTGTTCCTCTCTTCAAGTTGTTTCAATTCAATTGTTTGTAATGAGATGGCATCACTAATTTCATTAGAACATTTCTTATCTTCCTCAGCAGCTAATGTAATTCCAAATTCCTCAACTATTACATCCTCTTGTTGCTCTCTGTCAAAGTCTCCTTCAAAGTTTAAAGGAGTTTAATTAATGTCTTTAACAAACCAAGGAAGAATAGTGGTACAATGTTCCGAAACATTGATGAAAACCTCACTCGAAATTAATCCCTTACCAAAGATTAATGAGCGCAATAGTTTTTGGGAGGGAGTGGTAGGTCTACTCTTTGTTTAGGATGAGATGGAGATGATACAGTGTGTTGTTTCCTTTGTGGAGTTCCTTTCTTGTTATTACAAAACATTTCGAATAATTATTTGAAATTCTTAAAGTGCGAACAGACAAAGTGGACATTTCAGTTTCCAGCGCCTCTATTGTGCTATGAGTTTGAGAGAAACATTTCTTTTTTTCTCAACTTTAATTGTAAATCATATAAAATAATAATTTGTAAATAAAAAACATAAGAATCTTCTTTGAATAAATGAATAGTTTAGTATGAATAAGGTTGAAAATTGAATACAATCCAAACATAGGTGAATGATCCAACAATAACACAAAACGAGACAAACATGATAATGATTTGAATAATAAATCCCAACCATTTCTTTTCCTTCTTAATCATACATAAAATTGTAATGAATGCAAATGAAGTGATCAAGTAAGCAATTGTAATGCAAATAAAATAACCTCTTGAAATGGAAATTATTTTGAATGCCATGACAATTCCACACAATCCTTCAAATATAGCAAGTAATATTAAATAACCAATGAGTAGAAATATGGCATTCAATCTATAAACATGTTCTTGATTAACTAAATTGTTGTCACATGTCTCTTCATTATTCACCTGTTCTTGATTCGAATTGTTTTGAGGAGTATAACTCATGTCAAGTTTAGAATTAAATAAAGTTTGCTTGATGGTGTGTAAGTGCTTTCTCAGTTTTACAGAGATTGTCTCTTTGAAAGTAATCATCTCTTGATTCGATTTCTTCTTTCCATTCTTTTTTTCCTTAATCCATAAAAGTAATTTTTCACCAAGAGTAATTTTAGGAACATTCGAATACAGAGCTCTATAGAATGGCATTATAAATTCCAATAAAGAAAGTAAAAGTAATGAAGAAATCAATGGTTGAAAGAAATTGAAAATATTCCACTTTCCAAATGTCTTTTCATACTTTACAATAATTGGAATTAAATAAAGTAAATG